TCTCATTGTATGTACGTATCCGCGTTAAATAACCAAGTTATTGAAATAAATTTGAGAAATATGATATTACAAATGTTTTGAAGGAATTCATAAACTTCGATAAAATAAAATCTCAATTTAAGAGCATAATTAATATATAGCAGTATTGTTTAATAGTACTTTTAAACAATAATAATCCTTTTTTTAAACATTTAAAATTTTTCGTATCTCATATAAATTGAACAAACAGAATATTAACATTTAATTGATCAAGATCACAAGAAAATTAACTAACTCTAATAAATATCTTTTGGAAAAAACATCATATGCTTTTCCATTTGCAGCACGACATTTTTGAGTGTTTTCTTAATAGATATTCTTCGCAAAACTTATTTCACTCGGAATTTATAAAATAAAATACTATTTTCCAACTATATAGGAATATGGCAAGAATATTTATTGTATATGATTTATCTGCCTTATAGCATTTTTACATATTCTCCTTTTGAAAGGACAATTCTAAAGTAAATATGATTATCCTTATATATCAGTCGTCAGAACGGCATTAAGGAGAGAATCGTGGTATCCAAGAATGAACTCGTCTATGACGTCCGAGATTGCATTTCGGCTTCAGAAGAGCCAACAGGGCTAAAGCAGCTCCCAAGACGGACACGCCGCACAAGGCGCCGGCAGTAATGTCGTGAAGCGGTGTACCGTCCTTTGGTGATTTTGCTGCGAGTAATAGAAGACCAGCACAGCTCAATGCCGACAGTCCAGCCAGGCCGAGTCCTGTCCAGGTTCTTCGCAGACTTCTGCATGCACCTGCTAAAGCGCAGCAGGCACCGCAACCGACTGCGCTGTCGAAGTAGTATCTAAAAATAACATTTTTTGTATTGAATATTTATTATAAATTTATCTAATATTGATGTGTAGAAACATGTGATTTTAAGACATTGAAGTAATTACTATTAAAATAAAACTGACGTCAAATATTATAATTTCTTCGGAAAGATCTCTTTAAAGAAATATTAAATACATGATAAAACATCAAGATGTGCTAGAAAATATAAAACTTTAAAATTTATTTAATTATGCATCTCTTCTTACGCACCTTCTTCCGCGCTCAACTCTTATCAATCCTTTTGTATGTTTATTTTGAATTTTCTGGATTTGTTATAATTAATTATGTTTTATTAAAACTACAAGTAATCCTACCTTCTTCCTTGCGACCAGGACAGATACAGGGCGAGACCGCATGTGAGGAGACCGACTAATATCAGAAGTATCGGTGCGCTCTTTCTGTCGCCTTTCTCCATGCCGCTCGCTAGAGTCGTATTTGCGTCGCTGTTCGGTGGCGACAATGGAGGTACCTATAATACAAGAAAAGTTTTATTGGACTAATAATTTTTTTTATCTGTCGCATTATTTTCCGTTTAGTTCACTATCACTTACAACGGCGGTTCGTGCCATAAATGCACTTTCTACGCTTTGATAGTTCTTCTGTTCGGCGGGCACCACCTGATACTTGGGCGATCCAGACATCATCGGCATGGACTCGAGGCCGCTTTCCGTGTAAGCGTAGCGAGGTGGCGGTTCGTGGCTCATGTTCATTAAATCGACCGGGGCGGTACCAACGTAACGAAGCCGGCCGCAATTACTGGCTGGACAAAGGTCCTGCTGTCGGGACGAGTTCTCCAGCAGAGGAAGACATCTGCGTGCTGACGATTCCTTATTAGGTGTCGAAGTCTGAGGTCCTGTGGGCGAGAAGGCCCGGTGAGGTGTGCCTTGAGGAGTTGTGCGCGTTGGACTGAAGGCGCGACCTGACAAAATGACGGAAAAAGAAACATTTTATTTTCTAATTAAAAAGTTATTTTAAACTTAATTAATAAAATATAAATAATGGTATAATGTGAAGGGATGGTATCTAAAGAAATCTCTCTTCAATTTTTGAGCGAGTATGTTTCTCTAATATTTTATACTTTCTAAAGAATTTATCAGAATTTAATTTATAATATTTATTATTATACATATCATAAAATGATATTTATTATTATATAATGTTTATTGAAGAGAACAATGCAATAATAAATTTCGGACCATTTGGAGATCCGCCAGGAGTGAGCGCCCTTCGTTGCGGTGTGCTGGTTTGATTGAATGATTGTTGCCTCTTCGGCGATAGCGTCCTCTCTTCGGATCTGGATCTCGGTTTCCTGGGTGTGGATAATATTTCGTGTAATTTCTGCGTAGCTAAGTTATTCTTCGGCGACACCGAGAGCTCTTGCACGTTTCTCTCGGGAAGCGCCGGCGGAATCTCCTCTTGCAAAGGCACTCTGATGTAACGACCTGTTGCAAATTGTGCAAATTTAAACAGTAATTTATATTATGCGCGCATTTACTTTCCATGCTTTATACTCAAACAACGAATCAAACAATTTTTATTAAATATCTAATATTAAACATATCTAATATTAAACATAAAAAAAAGTTTTTATAATGCGAAAACTGAAGATGAAGGTTGGATGATTACCCTGCGGGGTGTTGATCTGTCGAGGCGTCGATTTCGCATTACTCCATTGCGGGCCGTCCTCTTGGTAGTCTTGGTCACCCGGTATAAGAGCGTATCTACCGGCATTGCCGCGACACGTCCGCGTCTGCGGCCCTCCTCGATCGTCTTGGTTGGTCGCCGGCGCGGAACGTTGCTGCACCTGCTGGTGTGGAATGAACTCGTACCTCGACGAGTTCCTGCGCGGCAACTGGCTCCTCTCCGCCTCGTCCTGCTCTATGTATTCGTACCGCGAGGACTGGTTGTAAGTCACGCGAGACTCCTCCACCGGAAGACTGGCGTATCTCCTGTGCGTGGGGGCCCGGTTACCCTCCAGATAACAATACCGGTCCCGCGGCACGTCCAGCGTTGCCTCCGGCGGGGCTTGGAAGGCCGGATTGCTCTGACCCGCGACGGCGTGACATTGCAATTGCAACGGCGGCGGAGGCGGCGGTAAATCGTCGCTTCCTTGAAACTGCTGCGGCGGCGGCGGCAGGTCATTAACATGATCGTCCGGGATGTACTCCGATTGACGGCAAAACGACGGATTCGTGTAGCAATGCACCGGCACCGATTGAGGTGGCTGAGCCATGACTGCCGTTCGTAACTATCTCATCGAACGACGTGTATCCTTTCGCTTTTTCGATAAAAATGAAAAATAGACGTTTTCGCAATGCAATCTTCAATGAGCGTTGAGAAACTTATAGACAAAATTGATTGTAAATGATTAAAAAAAAATTAAGTTAAATTGATATATTTTCAATTCAATTAAAATGAATAAGTCTAGCGCTAACTCATAAATTGAGAGTTAAATGGTCAAGTCTGAGACGTTATTAGTTAAATGAGCAGTACGTTTAACAAGATTTGAAGGACGAAATTTTACGAATTGCGACAAGTTCCGTTCAGAATAAAATGTTCTCCAAATTCACATGTTATGCAAAACACGAAAATTAATTTTTGGTTTGACACATTTTATTGATAAAATAAATTCGAACTTTTTGCGACAACCTCTGCTGAACATTTAGAAATAATCAGAGAGGTGTCAAATCTTCAATATTTATAGAAGAAATTATTAAATATTACTGATAAATCTCACTGTTATTGTCGATAATCCCTTCAACGATCGCAAACTGACGCACACAAATTGACGAATCTTCTAAGCACTATTAGACATTAATCTAGGAATCAGAATAAAAATCCAAAATCACTAGAATTTATGATCGATTGACGAGTATTATTAGCACGCTACTAACGTAAATAGGAGATCGCCAAGTCTCCAATGCGAGATTCACTATTTGCATTGACGGCGAGTCAATTTCGTATATTAAGCTGCAAATCTTTTTACACATCTTTGTGCACAAATTTCAAAAAATTTTGCTACACATCAAACCTATTTCTATATAATGAGTTCTTTTTTTATCTTATCAGTTTTATCTTAAATAGCATTCCACACACCAATTTTTAATCAGTCACTTAATTTCTTCGAAGAATTCACATCCGTTAAATAACCAGGAGTCTCATCTGCTTTAAAATAATAATGGACTTTTAATAATTTCACTCAAATATAGGTAATCGTCAAGAATTCGTTTGCAATTTTTGGACTGAAGTTTAATAATGAATTATTTTTCTAATCTTTAATTGAATTAATTCTTTCTCCGAACAGAACGCAATGCGTCGGCGCCGTAATGTCCCGCCAAGAATGCGCACTTTCATTCGCTACGCGATGTGCTCACGACCGTTGCCTTCGTTAAACTGTCTCGCGGGTTCCTTTAACAGCAGATGCGCAAAGGGCATTTCTCCATGCGTTCCCTCGTATCTGCGCGTGTATGCGCGGCTGCTCGGGGGGTTGTCACGGAGTTTCACGTAATACGGGCCCGGTGTCCCTTCGCGGAGTGGGGGCCCTTCAACTATAATGTACTTCGCCTAGGGTTTCAACCGTTGCTTCTGTTGTTCGCGCAACTTTTCTCGACGGAGTAATTTAAACTTTAAATGCCTGCCGAAGAATGCACCTATCATCGGAGTAAATTGTGAGTCTTTCGCGACTTAACATAAATATTTACGCGGAACCCATGACGTTTCTTAAGCGTTCTATTAAATAATCGTTCACTCACCATAGCAAATATTTAAAAAAATTATGAAAATAAGAAGCACTTTTCTTTCTATAATAAATACTTAAATAAATGTATAAAAATAAAAACACATTTTTTTTTTTTAAAAGAAGAAAAATAAAAAACTTTCTGAAAGAAGCGATGTTAAAAATAAATACTGTACAACTGCGAAATATTTAATATTTATTATTTCCTTGTGAATTTAATTTCTAACGTTTACGTACATCAAATTACTTTATTTCAATTTTTTATTTTTGACATATACAGATAAATATTTTTTTATTTTATAATAATACACAAATCATATAATATTACATGTACAAAATAAAAATAGCTCCTTAGATGGACGTAAAGAACTCAGAGTGAGGATACCATAGCCAATTTTCTGGGCAGCTGCCACGACCGTTGAGACGCGTGCCCCGATAGAGTAACAGCTGCTCCAACACAAATGCATTTCGGTCGCAAACACGTTGTTTGCCTCGCTCGCTCTCGCTGAGAACCGAATACATGTCTCTCGTGCTCTTAGGCATACCGGCACGTTAACGGCCGAAAAGTCACTTTAATGAAAGGATTCGAAACGGCGCGCGTGGCCCGTAGTGCCCGTGCAACGGAAGCGCCAAAAGCACGCTTTTTCGAGGCCTTTTTACGGGTGAAAGTACAGAGAAAAAGCGGAGATATCGCGAGAGAAATCAGATCGACCCCCTGATCGACATATTTTCACGCTCGAACTGTTAATCGAATCGTCGCGTGCGCGACTTACGGTAGGTGACTTAAGATTCTTCTATCAAACGTTTCGTTGCTCGTTGAAAATTTCTGGAGGCACATTTTTTTATTGTCGCTCCTTCGTGTTTTAAGTGACATTTGAATGAGAAATGAAGATAACGCTTGCTTTCCATATTCGCATCTCTAAATAGATCTACATATGTGTAACTATTATCTACCTTGTGATTGTCATATTTTCAAATCAAATCAGTAAAATGCGATGCTAGATATTACGTCGTTTTATTTCAATTAGAATTGCCAAGCAAAGCAAACAGCCATGTCTAACTGATACACTCACGCTTGCTCCACATACAACGGATTGCACTGATCGTGATTACCTCCATGCTGTACGGAAGTCACGCACTAGGATTTGATTCTTTTTGCATATCTTTCTAAAACGCGACTTCATCCGCTTGATCGAGTTTGCGGTTTGATCGATCTTACCGGATTTGAAGTTCCCAATGCGATGTTCTTCTTCTCGTTCGGGCTTCTTTAAAGCGCTTCATAATTTCTGCACGAATAACTAACTTATCAATAAATGATTTTGCTGTCACATCGTGAAAGTTCTCTCTTTCGTCTAATCCAACGGATTCTTGTGATCCGTTGAGATATACACCGTTATGGTGCGACGTGTAGTTCATCCGCCGTAGTCATTGAAAGCTACATTTTCTCAATCGTTCTCCTAATTGCGCAACCTCGCTAATAATGACGGTCCTGTTATATTAGGTAATCATAGTTCTCGTACACCTGTGATTACTATCGTGAAGAAATCTTGAAAGAGATGCGGTAATCGCGTGCGATTTTATTATTTATCTACGTTATTTTCTATACGTTTTTGGTAATATTTATAAATTCATACTGCATTAAATGGCAACTGAATTTATAAAATTACATTACGTTAAGGCTCTGACGCTCTGATATATATGTTCTGCTACATTGACAACCTATAATCATCGATTAGCTTAACCGGAGGCTGATGAAAGAGGACCTTAATCGGCGCTGTTTTCGGTTGTTCCCTTAACAAGCCAGTTGCGTAGAAGACTGCTTTAATAATTTCAACAAAGACTTGTCAGTTGACGTTCAGTCACCACTTAAGCATCGCGCGCGAATGATCGCTTCATCAAATACTAGTTTAATCGTTATCAAAATGAAATAACCGAACACACGTTCTCTTAAATGTGATTGAATTGAGAACTAGCTATTCATGATGCGAAAAAAAGATTCAAACAAGTTGTAATATCGTTAGAGCATATTGCTCATACAAGCTAATAAGATATAAAGTTTATAAAATTTAAATATACCTTATGTATTTTTGTAGAACACATATGTATTATTTCCAAATTTTTATATTTAAGAAGATAAAATAAATATTAAAATTAATACAATAAATATTAATCGAATAATTCGCATAAATCAGTTTATTATTTTTTTATAATGTTAAAACTTATCTCTTAAGATTTCTAAAAATACAGTTTTATTTACTATTTAAGGTTTAGGAGATAAAAAAACTGTGTGCTCTCGCATGACACAATATGTTAATAAATTTGTATTGTATGTGTGTTGAATATTTCTCTCTAACTTCAGTATATTATATAATTGAATAAACTAATATAGTATTGATATTTAAAACTTGATTTAAAACTTGCGACACTAATATATAAATCAAAACATCCGTTTTCTTTTTGACGCGCAGTAATCTTCTCGATATTCTTTATTTTTTTATCACAATTTCCGATGTCGGCTTCTCGCAACTAATGGATTTTTTTATCTGCAAATATGGCTCGATTATAGTTTACGTATTTATACGTTATTTTTTCAAACGTTCATAAATTTCCCAATTTGGTGAACATGAATGTTAATGTAGGCAATATTTGTCAATAATTTTTGATTGCAGTCGAAGTACTGCCGACCATGTCGTGTTTGTTAGATTGTCGCTATACGCGTTAGAAAAATATTCAGAGAAAATTTAATTTTCCTGCTTTTTTGTCCTATTTCTTTGGGTATAACGTTGCTTATCAAAATTCGTTTGAACGGAAGCAGGAAGTCTTCTGTAGCGATTTCGAAGAATCGGAAAATTCGAGAGGCAATGAATATGATCTATACTGTTTCGGATTGCACTGGACATGAGTGTAGTTTCTTTTAGGTAACTTATTTTCATTTTCTTCCTTCTCGTCGTCATGCACGACAATCATTGATGATACTTCCGGAGTGGTTACTAGTGATAATGTATGTCCATCAGAAAGAGTTGACAAATTGTCCTCTAAATTCAGGGATTTCATTTCCTCTTCATTAAACTTTGTCTCCTTCATACTTTCGTGTTCAGTTCGTATTTTCCGTTTGATCTCTTTCTGATGTCTATTCCTGCCAAAGTTATATATGAACAATATTATATACGTACAATTACAGTAAAATTAATATCTCAAAATTTGATTTTATGACTTTTATCAACAACTTCAATTTAATTTAAAACTCTTATCCGACAAATATTAAGGAGTTTATAAGACCATCAATATTACTACTTTTCAAATAGTAAAATAAAAGATATTACCTTCGACAGAAATAAAAAGTTGCACATGATACGACAAAAAATAATATAATGGGTATTAGCCATGCTAAGTAATGCGACGGATCTCGATCGATGCGGACTGATTTTGTTAGCATAATCGGCTTGGTAGACGAATCTGAATTTTGTTCGATTACGATAATCACTATTTCATAAAGCTCTCCAGATTTTAATGGACAATTTCTCGCACCGCCATAAATTTCATTGTCGCCGACTCTAAACTCTTGTTTGCCAGCATACTCACTGGTCTATCACAATTGAAAGCAAAAATTTTATTTTTAAAGATATTTATAACTACTGTTGTTAATATGCAGTAGAAATTTATGTAGCATTAATCTTACTTCAACTGATTGTATGCATGAAACAATCATATAGTTACTAGAGTATTTCATAATATTTGTTATGCTTATTTCATTATTTCTTAATCATTCTTGCAAGTTTGTTCATTATTTATAAATTTTACACATAGAAATCACGACTATTTTGTTTACATACCAAAACTTCAGCAGCTTGCCAGGCGGTTTCATACGTTCTCACTCTAGCCAGCGTTCGTAGATTCTGAGGCACTTCTAAATATTGATCGCAGGGTTTATTACGATTCACTATAATAATATGCATTTTGCTCAATTGTGTGTCGTTTTTGACAGGTGGTATTTTCAATAAAATCGTGTAATCCGATTTGTCTATCATCACTTCTAGATCGCCGTCAAAAGCTGCGGTTGAAGGCGTATGAACGTCCACAGACTTTATGTTGCTGAATGTATTTGCAATTGTTACAGCTTGAACATGAATGGAATAGTGCGTTGCTGGCAACAAATACAATCGCTGACTGTAGTTAGGCATGTACTGTGTCACCGGGTATTCTAACGTTTTATTAATGAACTTCGGCAATAGGGATTGAAAAAGATTTGAATAGATTTGTTCTATTTGTATACGAAAAGACTTCAGCTGAGCACCGGTTTTCCAAGGATGAAGCCATTCTAAATCAACGACACTGTTTTCGTTGATTGTAGAAGTAGAATTCGCAGGTGGGTCCGGTGCTAAAATATAATCTGATTGTCATGTTTGTCATACTTGAACAATAATTAATCTAATTATTTCCATTTTATCAAAATTTAAAAAACTATTAAATAATTGTTTATTCCACACATAATATATAGAATAAACAATTATAATATTATATATAACAAAAATTTGAAAAGCCACTTGTTCTTTGTAATTTAATAGTATAGCTATGATAAAAATAATCGTATTAAAAGAAAAAATCGAAAATATATCTCAAAATGTTAATGTAACAATAACAGATGATGATAGATTATGTTAGATTATCATCAGATTTTGAACTTAAGTATATCATAATGTATCGAGTATTATTATAAGTTTCTAAAATTATTTGATAAACTTGAAATTTTACTTGTATTATTTAACATATCATCAGTTATGAAAACTGGAGGGCCTGGTTCAGTAACATTTATATTGGACGCGAAAACCTATAATCAATATAGTATTATACAATTTTTATAATCAGTTGATTTTCCTTATCTGTCACATAAATTATTTACGTTTACTGACAATATTAAAAATGTTGTGAAACTCAATATTATTTTACCTTAATTCTTTGAGAAAGGGTGGGTGATTTTTTTACAATTGTGCAAATAGAATCGTTCCACAAGTTACAAGACTCATTGAGTTGAACTGTAATATTTGTGCAAAGTGATTCGCATAACTGGACAGTATAATCACGCAATTTTCCATTGAGAGGTGGACGTGGACTTTGCCATCTCAGGTGTATCATGAGAAGCGTTTCATTTCTATCAATTTCCACGATCTCTAAATTGGTTACTTCAGGTGGTGCTGTTATTTCGATTATATATTATAATCATAGAAAAAAAGTATCAAGTATTATTAGTAAAAATATTAAGTTTTACCTGTCGGCGGAGTTTCAAACTCGTATTTTTGATAAGCGGAAGCATTTTCGTTGCTCGAGTAATTTCTTATTACATAAACTGTTGCCAAGTATCGCTCAACACCGTTTAATTTTGGACTTAATTCATTCAAATCAAGGAAATTGTGGTTAGTCTGTTTGGTTATATTGTAATCTTTAACAGCGTCACTAATGCCCTGTATTTTTATTCTGGCTTTCAATGATCCCGAAATCGTTGTACAATCTTCGGGCGGACTCCATGACAATTTCCAGTCTTGTACTCTCAACTGACTAAATATTTCTGATGGTATCTCTACAAAACCATTGATTTCTTTTTTTTGTGACACTCTTTTATACATATACATAATATACCAGATATTATAAAATATTTATTAAAAATCAATAAACAATTAATGGATTAAACGGTGTTTTTTCTACCTTCAGCATAACAATAATTCTAGTGAATGATATAATGTATGATATATACCAGATTGTGTTGTGTTGAAAATTGTCTCTGTGTACGTGCTGAAATGACGTGAGTTAAGAGCTATGACCTGCGCACTATAAAATGTGTACGGATGTAAGTCCGAAATTGTGATCGTTGGCTCTATTGTAGATTTTGTAATAACGTGATTATACGGCTTAAATATTTTTAAATCCCTACAACCGTAAT